CCACACTTTACACTCCACACTCTACACTTTACACTCCACACTTTACACTTTGCAATTTACACTCCTCACTCGACACTTTACACTCCACACTTTACACTTTACACTCCACACTCCACACTTTACACTCCACACTCTACACTTTACACTCCACACGCTACACTCCACACTCCAGACTCCACACTGCAGACTGGTCACAGGGGAAATATGTACAAGACTGTTCAAACAAACTATTGCAGGAAAGTGTTCTGCGTGATTGCATATCCATGTGTTTTGACATCTGTACCATTAACATACATGTGAGCATTCGGGTTCGTGGGCTGCATCTTGTTGTTTTTTCGGGGTGGTTTGGGGTTTATTTGGGGTTGGTTTATGGATTATTTGCAATTGGTTTAAAGTTGATTGTGTTTTCGCTTACGACTTATTTAAGGTTCGTTTAGGTTTCGTTGAGGGTTTATGTAAGATTTGCTTAGGGTTTATTTAGGGTTAGGTTTGGTTTAGGATTCGTTTAAGACTTACTTTGGTTTGGGTGGTAATTTAGGGGTTATTGAAGCTGATTTATATTCTCTTTACGGCTGGTTGAAGTAAGGATTACCTTCAAAGCGTTTAAGGGACCAGAGCCACCAAAGGACGGAAGGACCAAGGGACCAGAGGACCAAGGGACCAAAGGACCAAGGCACCAGAGGACCAAGGGACCAGGGCACCAAGGGAGAGGACTGCAGGACTGGGAGATTCAAAGACCACAAGATTTGAAAATGGCATAAACGGGCCAAAACACTGCAGCAGCGCATGAAAATTGAATATTTTTTTGATCCCTTAAATATTTTTTTTTGATGCCTTAAATATTTATTTTTTTATGCCTTATAAAAATATTGTTGTTTAACCCCATGCCCTCCAAAATTGGCCCAAATCCCCAGAACCCGAACTGATCCCATCCTTGAGGTCCTTGAAAGTTTGTTTGAAATACCAGCATCATTAGAACCTTTTTCTTCACGTTCCATCCCTAGCATACTCCCAGTTATTTTGATATATCTAACAATGGCAAAGGATCGACAAAACGTTAGCTGTTTTGATATAGATAACGAGATATATACACACATACAGTATGTTATTTATGTATTTAAAAACATTGAAATATTAGTATCGGCAGCTGTTTAAAAAAAACTGAGCCCACTGCGGCACCACTGACACCACCGAACATCGGGTGCCATCTTACCAGCTGCGCCTGCTTCAGCCTTTGTACCTCCTGCCATTGACGAAGTCCCGGGTCAGCAATCAATCGGGTGAAATATCTCGATTTCTTTCCAACCAATGCTGGGAAATAAAAACGTCCAATATGGATACCTATCAATCATACATACATACATACATACATACCTACCTACGTACGTACGTACGTACGTACGTACATACCTACCTACCTACCTACATACCTACATACATACATACATACCTACACACCTAGGAACCTACATACCTACAAACCTACATACATGCATACATTACATTACATTACATTACATTAAATTACATTACATTATTTTACATTACATTACATTACATTAATACATACAATTAATTACATTTATACATGCATACAATACATACATGCATACATGCATACATGCATACAAGCATACATGCATACATGCATGCATACATACATACAACATTCATACATACATACATACATTACATTACATTACATTACATACAATACATACATTACATACATTACAATAATTACATTCATTACATTCATTACATTCATTACATTCATTACATTCATTACATTCATTACATACACTACATACATTACATACAATACATACATTACATACATTACATACATTACATAAACAACATACATTATATACACTACATACATTACATACATTACATACATTACATAAACAACATACATTATATACACTACATACATTACATACATTACATACATTACATACATTGCATACATTACATACATTACATACATTACATACATTACATTACATTACATAACAAAACATTACATTACATAACATTACATGACATTACATTACAGTACATACATACATACATACAATTGCATCACATTTACATTTTTACATACATACATACATACATTACATAACATTACATAACATTACATACATACATACAAAACATTACATACATACATACATACATACATCCATGCATACATACATACATACATACATTACATACATTACATACATTACATACATCACATACATCACATACATTACATACATTACATACATTACATACATTACATACAGTACATACATTACATACATTGCATACATTGCATACATTACATACATTGCATACATTGCATACATTACATACATTACATACACTATATACACTACATACATTACATACATTACATACATTACATACATTACATACATTACATAACATTACATACAATAACATGACATAACATAACATTACATAACATAACATTACATAACATAGCATTACATACCATTACATTACATTACATTACAAAACATTACATAACATTAATGACATTACAAAACATTACATAACATTACATTACATAACATAACATTACATAACATTACATTATATTACACAACATTACATGACATTACATTACATCACATTACATTACATTGCATAACATTACATCACATTACATTACATTACATTACATACATTACATACATTACATAACATTACACAACATTACATTACATTACATTACATACAATACATACATTACATAACATTACACAACATTACATTACATTACATTACATACAATACATACATTACATACATCACATTCATTACATTCATTACATTCATTACATACAATTACATTCATTACATTCATTACATTCATTACATTCATAACATTACATAACATTACATAACATTACATAACATTACATACCATTACATAACATTACATACATTACATACATTACTTACATTACATACATTACATACGTTACATACATTACATACATTACATACATTACATACATTACATACATTACATACATTACATACATTACATACATTACATACATTACATACATTACATACATACATTACATACATACATACATACGTACGTACGTACATACATACATACATACATACAATTACATTACATTTACATTTATACATACATACATTTATACATACATACATACATACATACATACACACATACACGCATACACACATACACACATACACACATACACACATACACACATACACACATACACACATACACACATACACACATACACACATCCACACATACACACATACACACATACACACATACACACATACACACATACACACATACACACATACACACATACACACATACACACATACACACAGACACACAGACACACAGACACACAGACACACAGACACATACATACATACATACATACATACGTACATACATACATACATACATACAGACATACATACATACATACATACATTACATACATTACATACATTACATACATTACATACATTACGAGTGGCGAGACAAAAGTGAAAACGGCGGTGAAAAGGGTCTAAGGTGAGAAATGGTGTCGAGCAAGTTAAACTACGCACTCAGGGCACACTCAGAATCCGCTCAGTAGTGCTTTTTCCAATCATCATACAATGCGGGGAGTACACCAGTGCTTGAAGATGACTTTCTTGCGAAACCCTAGCATCACAGCGAGCTGGTGTTCTAGAAGCTGGTCTTGATCGTGAAGGGCGTAATATTCATCCGCAGTTGGCAGGGACCTTGCACTCCTCGCTGTACGTGGCATGAGTAGCAGTGCTTTTTGCGCTTGACTAACTTCGCAGCTGGCAGCAATTGTGCAACTGTCCAAAATGCAGCTTAATGCCGTAGTTGACGTTTGGCAGTCTCAAGGTCAGTGATTCTCTGTGGTACATCTGGGATACCTCGGAGTTTTTGACATGTTATCAAGAAGTTTGGCAGCAGCATCAATCTCATCCGTAGTGACTTGGCTCAGTGTCAATCGGTTGCCAAACGGTTAACAGCAGCCTCTTCCATTGCAGGCAAGCCAGCGGGCAAAAGTAAGACAGGGAGGTATTCCACGGTCTGCATTCAAAGCCAGTTCAAGTTCAAGACAACTTCAACCAAGTTCCAAGAACATACAACAAACAAACAGCATATTATGATCCTCAGCTGCAGGGGTGTCTTTTATTTCCACATGGAACGCTTGTTCCAGTTTCTTGTCTATTAAAAATTCGACGCGCATGGATTCTTCAATTTAATAAAAAATTAAACGTGATCGAAAACACGCAGCACACTGTCGGACTTGATTTGAATTTCCTTTTTCCGCATTGGGGTATTATTCACGAGTAAGACACCCGCTAGCCAGGCTTAGGGCTAGGCAAGGTAAAACCCACTCAAAGAGGGGAAGGAAGAAATTGATGACAGAGAAGAAAACCCACTCGACAGAGGGGAAAGGAACACGCCCCTTCGACAGAAGGGGGGGAAGACACAGGGTGGAGAGGGAGGGTAAACGCGGTCCATTGGACCAAAACTGGAAGGAACCCACCGCCCACCGCTTGAGGTGTAAAATGAGGAATGAGATGAAATGAAAACTGAACTATTCAGAGAAACAACCAAACAGACAGTTTCAGTTTGAGAAAAAAGAAACTGACAAAAACTGCAACACGCTTTCACCAAAAAGTTCCAGTTTGCAAATGGCAACTTTTGGTTTTTCCATGTTTGAAATAAGGTGCTTATCACTTCGTGAGTAAACACTTATTTCCACATGGAACGCTTGTTCCAGTTTCTTGTCTATTAAAAATTCGACGCGCATGGATTCTTCAATTTAATAAAAAATTAAACGTGATCGAAAACACGCAGCACACTGTCGGACTTGATTTGAATTTCCTTTTTCCGCATTGGGGTATTATTCACGAGTAAGACACCCGCTAGCCACCCCACATCAAAGTGTCTGCTCCTTCCTTTCGATCAGAAGCAAGACCTGATCCCAGCTTGGCTTGACCAAAGCGGAATCAACATCCAACAGTTGCTGGATTTCGAAACGATTGGGCTTGTCAGCAGGGTTTGAGTACGAAGGCACTCTTCCAAACCAAACCTTCAAGCTGTACTCGGATTCAAGCTGTGCAAAACAAGTGGTGAGAACATTGCCGAACAAAACGCTGGAGTGGGTTTTCATCAAAGCGCTCTTTGCAGCCTCGTTGTCTATGTAAAACACCACGTAGGAATTCTGGATGGCCGGGGCCCATACATGTGCAGCAACCAGCACTGCCAGGAGTTCAACTTCAAAAATAGGGTGGCTGGAATGCTGGAGGAACATGTCCAAGATCAGCTGGGGAACCCGTTCGCTGAAGAAGGCCTCGGCCTCGCCATCATTGTTGTATAAGATGCCTCCCACGGAAGCCACAACTTGCGACCCATCTGCTGTAGGTTCAACCGCACCATCAGTGAAAATGTAGTAGGTTTTTCCGGCTGACTTGGTCAGTTCCACTGGCTTTGAAATGGAGACGTGTTCTTTGAGAAACTGCAAGGCTCGCTGGAGCTGCGGGTCCAAGCTTCCAACCAAAGAGCAGGAGGTGGCTCTCTTGCTAATCACGCTCATGGAATAGTTTGCAATCCTCCCAAACAGAAAAGTGTCATACCACTGCAGACGACCTCTGAGTCTTTCCTCATCCTTTGGTTTTAAACAATTTTGGTCAAGGTGTGATTCGATTTGGGCCAGAAGCTCTTGCCTTCGGCTGTCGGTATGTCCAATGCGGACCTTTCCAACTGAGAAATCAGTCAAGTCAATGAGCAAACCCAATGCCTTGAAGGTTTGCTCGAAAGAGCCAGCTTTGTCACCATCTCGGGCGAAATCAATGCCCAAGAGATCGAACAACAAGTGCACTTGAGCTTTGCATTGGGCCGCCATCGAGGAGGTGGATAAGGTAGGGAAATCATCGAAAAAACTTGACCACCAAAATCCGAGGCATACCTGTCCAATGCAGGCTAAGGCCGCTGATATGCGGAGGAAGCCTGCCACACTCCCTGAGGCTCCGAAGGGGAGCGCACTGATCTTGTACACTTTGGCCACACCTTGTTCTACATCCTTCACACAAATGCGAACTCTCTCACGATCTTCGGGGTAGATTGCATATTGCTTGTAGGCCGCCACTAAATCAAATGTGGTGCCGCACAAAGTTTCGCCCGCGGGCAACCCCACTGATAACGCTCGGACCAAAGTGGCCGCAATGGCGTCGATGGAGTGCAGCACGTATTTTTCTGGGAGGCCAGTTGATCCATTGACTCCACATTGCTTGAAGTCGTCGATGACTCGTACCTTCGTTTTCTGAACCAGGCCAAGTCGCCTAGCGACTACAAGCTTGTCCAGGTCTGGATTTTTGTCCTCGACCAACCACCCTTTCCCTATCTCATTGATTGTGCCTTCCCAGGCGCCAACGGATGCGTCAGTAGCTTCTTCGGAGTTCACGGACTTGAAAATGCTCCTGCTGATGCCCTTCGAGAGACGCAGAAGTGCATCCACTGAGTATTGGGGTGGCTTTGATCTATGAGGAAAAAGCATCGAGTCACGCAACCAACCTGTGATGCGGAAACCCGCGCAAATGTCCTTGACCAGGTGTCGATCAGGGAAACCGATGTCATTCAGGATCTCTTCAAGCACCAGAAGTCTCTTGCCCTGGAGGACCCTTGCCACTTCCGGGTCTAAAGCATCGTGCAGGTCTTTCTCTTTGCTGGCCAACTCACTTGCTCTTGTGAGCCATTTTCGGAAAAAAGCATTCCTTCGATCCAAAAGTTTTCCGCGGTCTGAAGACAAGTTCTCCAACACGAAAGGGTCACGTGCTGACCAATCTTCTGCAAACAGGTTCCTGGGATGGCCCGCTGCTACTGCACGAGCTACGAAATCTTCCGGTTCCCTTGGAATACCTATGGAAAGAATCTCACCCACTTTCTGAAGCGCTGTGAAATCGCCAGCAAAACCATTTATGTAAATGCAGTTGCTCTTCTGAGAGCTGCACTCATCCTTCAACATACTGTCGCAAACCCGAAAGTCACCCCCATGCATGAGTTTGCGGTTCACTATCCGCGCCCCTTTGGGGAAAGTTTTCAAAAGTTTGTCTAAATCTTCAGCAGGAAAATGGGGAGGCACCAACCATCGGCTGTAAAATTGAAATTCACTGACCAAAGGGAGCAATTTCCTCCCTCTTGGCAAGAGTCCCATTAAAATGGAATTTGTTGCAGTGGATCTTTGATGATGAATTTGTTGCTCCAAAGTCTGCAGTTTGGTGAAATTGCATTGCTGCAGCGCTTGATCCACAAGGTTTGCCACTCGTTCGCATAAAATTTCGGGATATGCCGCTTCCTCAGCCGTCGGGAAATTGAAGCGTTTGTTGGCTTTGTCAAAAACAGGTGTCCAATTTTTATGCTGGTGGTCTCTGCTACACCTCAGCGCCAATGGGGAAAAAATTTTCTTGTTGCACCACCACAAGGTTGCTTTGTCTCTTTGCCCTCCCATCATGCAACTGTCGAAGACGACTCGAAAACCTTCACATTATGCGAAGAGCTCGACCATTGGCTTTGTCAGCCAGAAAAGGGAGTTTAAAGGATTTTCAATTGAAACTAAAATACCGTACAAAACGCAGAATTGAACGATGACAGCGGTAGCTCGATATAGCGCATTGGCTTTTTCCACCTTCAGCAAATTGAGTCCCGTGAGCCCCGGTAAGCCGTCAGGAAATTCTTTTGAACGAAGGGGCACAGGCTGCATCTCTTGAGGGCAACCTGGAACGGGAATTCCTCTGGCTGCTGAAGCTGTGCCGCAGGGTGGCGCCAAATGAATATATACCAGCACATTGAGTTCAGCTTTTAAGAAATCCAGCAAAAATTGTAGATCCTCATCTTTCGTGAGGTCCAAAACGGTGATAAGACCTGTGGACCTTTTGGTGGTGTGATCCACAGATGAAACTCGAAAATCTCGTTTGGCGAAAGCTCGGCTTAACCGTGCTGTCCCTGCAAAAATCTCGACAAATAGCAGGTCTTTCCACTCTGTGCCTTTATCGAGATTTGGAAAAGGTTCCGCACTTTGCCCTGTTGTTTCGTGCGAGCCCTCATCCTGTTGGCGAGGGCTTTCCAACTCCTCTTGTTGAAGTTGCTCATCACCTAGTCAGTTACCCCCGCGTTGACGGCATGACAAAAAGGTGTGTCCACCCTTCCGGCAAAATGCACAGATGTGGACTCCTTTTGAACATCTCACTGGGTTGCCATAGGTCTTGGCTGAACATCCGTCTTTCATGTTGAAGGCCCAACAAATGGGTTTGTTGTCACTTGTCTTTGAATGACCTCCCTTCAACTCGTCCGGCATCTTTACCTCCGTGGTTGTTCGAGCCCTTTTGCCCGGCCTAACTTTTGCCTTTGGTTTGCCAGCGTCTGGTTTGCTGGCGTTGGAGGCCTCTACAGAATGCGCCTTTGTAGGCAATGGCAACAAGTGCATGGTCACCCTTGGGTCTGTCTTCAGCCTTGTAATATGTTCATCCAGTGGTCGGTTTCCCACACCATCAGGCTGGATGGATTCCACTTCCCTTGCTAAGATTGTAAACAACTCCTTGTCGGCTCGCAACAACTGAGGCATGGTCACCTTCGCAAATGAAGGTGGTGGCTCTGCAGAGTAAGCTTGAAACATTGCCGCTACCCAACTCTCATGCTTGTCCCAAGAAATCAAAGCTGCTTGGTCAAATGCCAATCCGCGTCTTTGGAAACACCACATGAGTTTCAATTCAGTGCCATGGTCAGCTTCAAAAGTTTCAGTGTCTGCGGCCATTTTCAACGTCATGTTCTCAATCTTCAGCACTTGAGATTTTTCCTTCAAAGTTTGCTGTACCTCTTGTTCACGTTTGGTGCATTGCGATGGGTGGATCCATAGTAGCGACCCTGTCTCTCTCATGCTAGCGCACTTGTCCACCAAGGCATAGCTGGGTTCCATTTCACCTGACAAAGTAACGCCAGTTAATCTGGTCTGCTGGTCCTTCGCCCTGGCCTGCTTTTCAGCTGGCGGCAGCTTTCGAATCCCATCGGTCAAATCGCCTGCCACATTGCTCTTCAAGGTCGCGAAAACTATTGTGCAAGCTTCGAAGTGCAACCTCCTCAGCTGAGACAATTGGCCCAGTGTGGGTGGAACCCCGAAGACTCCTGCGGCAAAAGCTCCAAAGGCAGCATCATCTGGTTGAGACTGTGGCGTCCCGCATGCAAAGGCCAAACCGCTGAATGTCTTCAAACCTGAATTGTCCAGCGTCTGAAAAAGAACTTCATCACCGATCTCTATGACCCTCTTTTTGAAGGCCGCTTCAGAATCAAGTAATGACATGGCTTTCAAGGGTTCCCCGCACCTACTTAAACACAAATCCATATGCCAGGCATGCGAAAGTGAAATTGTTGACATGTGTAACTGTCAGTTTAAATTGACAAAACTTGTAATGATTCAGTGTGGGAAGAAGAGCATTCACCCAACACGGCAAAAACCACTGGAGAAACCACGTGGTACCTTCGTGTAATGCCACTGGAAAAGGCTGCGTTGCTTGAACCCAGTGTGGGACATTGAAATCACCCAACACGGACGGCTCACTGGTTGCACCACGTGGCTCAGCAACTGAATGGATACAATTGCACCATACTGAGTGCAATGGACGTTTTGCGAGAAAAACAAATTCATGCATGGTCAAGAAATTGGATTGACTTGGCAAGAAATAAATTGGGCTGCCGCTGAAATCCTGAAAAAACTTTTATCCACTCCTGGCCAAACCTGCCGACTGCTTCAGGCAGTTTGAACAAACTGAGGAGTCCCACCTGGTCTGAAATTCCCTGGTGTACGCTTCGGTCACTTTGCGACCACATTCAAGGATTCTGACACGGTGATCCTGAATTATATGTAAAGTCTTTGACTTACTGTGCTGCAAAAAATGACACCCACCAGGTGGCGTTGGAGGCAAAAACAAACGAGGTGGTGCAGGCGGTTCACTTAACTGTTCACTCTCATCTGAGGATGAATCCGTTGTCACATGCTCTGACTGGACATCAGAAACTTGGCGTTCAGACGCACTTGATGCCACGGATATGCATTCCCAGCCTGCCTCATCTGACTGCTGTTTCACCTGCTCAAGCTCACCTAGCTTCTGCATCTCGGGCATACACATCAGCCATGCGTCCCTGATGAGCATGGTGTCCTAAAGCCAAACGCTCCTCATGTGGAAGTCCACGCTTTGCTGCATAGCTAAGGATGGTGCACTTGCATGAATGTGATGTGATCCTAATTTCATTATGCGATGCGACTGGGTTCATCTGTAAAAGGAGTCTCAACCAAGAGCCACACTCGTCTGTTCCAAGAGGTCGCACTGTTGGTTTCCCTTCCACTGAAGGCGCAGGCATAGGGGGATGTACCTCCTGTATCCCTACTGATGCCCTGGCGTCCATCCAGCAACCGATCCAGTCTGAATCAACAACTCCATGCGCAGGTGCACACAACTCCAAAAACCGAAAGCGAAAAGCAGAAGCATGCATGGTTTTGTGTGTTGAAACTTTGCAGGAAATGTACCTAATGTCATCCCCAACGAATTCCAACTTAAGCTCCGAGCCATGTTGAAAATCCATCCAACGACTGCGTGAGTATACACAGAACAGTACAGCCCCTGCAAAAACTCGATCCCAGACGTCGGCTGATTCTCGCACCAATCTGTGAAGCTCTGTCAATTGCAAGACCGTTAATGGAGCAGCTTGACAAGGTGCATCAGTCGGTAAACCTCTGGCAACTCCTAGACATCTCCTACTGCTCACACATTCTTGAAGCTTGGAAATGTTGAAAACAAATCTGCAAAAAGTGACAGCTTCGACAATGCCCTTGATGCGGCTGGGTTTGCAACCAGCCCTGCGAAGGTCGCACAATGCCTGATACAGTTGCATTTCAGAACATGGAAACTCATGAAGCTTGACATGTTGAAAAAGGATTCCCAGACTGTTGACTCGCTTGTACAATGTTGCAGGTGCTTTTGTACCCATGTAGTCCCGAAGCAACGTCAGACCATCTGCATGGTTGGGCACCTACGTAGTTCCTGTACCACCTTCTCCATGGGGTCCCAAGACATGATGCATGTGAGCCAACGTTTCAACCCTGTTTGTAACTCCGAGTCCCTTTTGTCCATCCAAGTCTCTTCAGGATGTTTCACAACTGCACGTGCAAAGTTTGATGTCAACACAGCTGGAGGTGACAGTTTGATCTTCTTCTGAACTGAGTGCCCTGCCACAGGTCCCGGCAAAATTGGACGATAAATGCTACCCATGCTGAGGTCATCCATGTAGTCAAAATTCCGCTGAAAAATGGGTCCCCAAGCACGTGTCTCCCAAGGCAGCAATACCGGTTTTGACTCCAAGGTTTTAAAGCAAGCATCCACTGCTCTTGCAAAGTCCAAATTGTCAAAAACATCTCGCCCAAAAGTTGTTTGAATAAAACCAGGTTTGGCAGATTCATGAAAAACAGCATCTCCAACTGGTGAATCGTCTACATCGAGACTGTGCCCTCCAAACAGCTCAAATGCCGTTTCCGCCACACTTGCAGTGTCAGAGGGCTCTGCCATAGCTCACCCCCCAGCTAAACGCGGTCCATTGGACCAAAACTGGAAGGAACCCACCGCCCACCGCTTGAGGTGTAAAATGAGGAATGAGATGAAATGAAAACTGAACTATTCAGAGAAACAACCAAACAGACAGTTTCAGTTTGAGAAAAAAGAAACTGACAAAAACTGCAACACGCTTTCACCAAAAAGTTCCAGTTTGCAAATGGCAACTTTTGGTTTTTCCATGTTTGAAATAAGGTGCTTATCACTTCGTGAGTAAACACATATGGCAGTGCCATCTTTGACCCCTTGGCAGCTACATCATTGGATCATCTTCATACCATAGTTCGAGTTACTTACAACAATGTTCAAGACATGTACAACACGTTGCAAAAAGCATCTCAAAACAGAGCATCGTCCAATGAGTCCACATGTGTCCAACTGCATGCAAGTGACATCCAACTAGTTACAAGTGAAAACAGTTGACATCAAATCCCAAAACAATGAAATAAACATCACATGAACTGACATTCAAGACCTGAAAATCCAGTTTGCAACTGGAAAACACCTACAAACCTATGAACAACTTCTGCAAGATGTTTGGGCTTCTGCAAACAGAACTGGAAAACCCTGGCAACTGTTTCCACACAGCTTCTGCAAGCAGCCCAGAACTGACAGCTTCTGTTGTTTCTTGGACGGCTTATGCAATGAAAAACGTGTACAAACCAAAAAAATGCAAGCAAATGCAAAAACCACTGATGCACTCAAGGCTATTGAAGTGGCCCTGGCAAAGACCAAACTAGGTCAACCTCGAGAGCATAAAAACGTCCTATTCTCCTACCTCTCACAGCATCAGATGGCAGCCACATTCACAGCCTCGCACTGCTGAAGTTTTTACACCATTCAGCTATTTCATTCTCTCTTCTCTGGAGACCATGCATACCGCATAAAAGCTTGTGGAAGTCTGCGGTGCATCTAGCTATCTGGACCATGCCGAGATGAAATTCATTCTGGTAGCTCTCTGGGCAGCCTGGCATCCAATGCATGACCCAGTAGGTGAAACAGGGATCTCCTGTTGATTCCCACTATCTTTCACCAACACTTTCAGGGTGCAGCGGGCTGGGATGGAGCACTTGGCATAGCTGGCGTGCTGGGTGGTCGACCCAGCGTTTGGTGCATAGGTCGCGGCGGCAAACCCATAGGTGGCACAGGAGCAGAAACCCTGATGAGGCTCCTGGTGTTCCACAACCCGGCTGCCCATACTGTGGAGGTGACAGAGGAGGCCCGCACATGCGAAGCCTGATTTCAATTGACTTTCCGGCCCCAGAAATGGAACCTGAAAGCGCACATGTGGTATCAGCTGTCTCCGTTCCCTAGCTCCAATGTTGCTATTTGCGATGCAGCAACACCCAGGGAACATTCACCAATCCTTCGCTACTCCGCGCTACTCCGCTACTCCGTGCTATGTTTTAATTCAATTACCCAATGTAATTGACACGATATCGAAACGATGGCGGAGTAAGAAAGCCTTCAATACTTCACCTTCCCACATCTTTTCCTAAGCAGATTCCTACTCCATCCCGTTTTAAATTTATACTATTAATTAATAACGGGATTGACTGAAAAGATCATGATTCATCTTCTTCCTGGGCTGAAAATTTCGGTAGGAGTCTAGACGGGCAAGGGGGCCCAACAAGGGGCAGTAGAGTATTCAATACAATCATTCAAATGGAAGCCGGCCACCTGCGCGAAAACCCACAAACTCCGCAACAGCAAGAAACACCTGAAGCAATCACCTAAGAGCTGCAAAAGGCTGATGGGCCTTCTTTTAGCGGCAAACAATCAAGCCACCAGACGCAACGAAATAACAAGAAGCTAACTTCAAAGTGGATTCAAGCAGCAAACGATATGCACCCCGCTTGCCCCAACCAGAAACAAAATCATCTACAAAACAGCTTGCTCCGACGGACCCAATTCTGGGTCCGGAAAATCTTCTCAAAACCGGCTTCGCTCAAAAGGGCCTCCCTAGTTGCCCTGCCGGTCGCCATCAGCCACAAAGTTTCCTTGAAACCAAAACTTTGCGGTTGCAACCCTGATACAAAAAACTGCAAAAAATGAACCTAACACGGTTCCAACAATCCGACTGGCGGTCCCTTTTTGGGACCGCATGCACAGCGTAGTAAAAGAACAAAAGAAAAACACTTTCACGGTCCCATTTTTGGGACCGTCTGGCGGCACCAAAAATGAGACCGCAAAATCGCAAAATCAACAGCAAAGGCCGACCCTTGCAGCAAACAAAAAAAATTACAACTGGTTACTAAGCAATCAGCATAAAGATTTGGAACAGAGGAGGCCCGCACATGCCAAGCTTGATTTCAATTCACTTTCCGGCTCCAGAAATGGAACCTGAAAGCGCACATGTGGTATCAGCTGTCTCCGTTCCCTAGCTCCAATGTTGCTATTTGCGATGCAGCAACACCCAGGGAACATTCCACCAATCCTTTACTACTCCGCGCTACTCCGCTACTCCGTTTTAATTCAATTACCCAATGTAATTGACACGATATTCACCCACATCTGTTTTTTTTTCAACTAATTTTTCCTAGTAATAGGTAGCATAGGACGATGTCAAAGTACATCAAGCCATGACGCCCCGTTGCTGTTTTGCTCAGCCTGCTGACCACCTGCGTCTACTACTCGAAGGCAGACTGAACATATGGCTACAGCTCAACCGAACGAGCTAGCACACTTGCCTCAAGAA